AGCGGCTCTGGGCTTCATTAGGAATGGTGGGAAGGGTCCACACCTTTCCAACACACACACACACACACACACACACACACGTCTGACAAAGCTGCCTGCTACAGGCAAACATCAACTGTTAAAAATAAGGCCAGAAAGAGATGAAATGAACAAAATAAATAGTTTGGCAATGAAGCAAACATGGCTGTTAGGCAGAGGCCAAGTCCTCCTTTGAAACAGCACATCTCCCTAACAAAAGAGCCTGCAAACAAAGTGAAACTTCTCCCCGGTAAGAGGAATTTTGCCAGCAGAGGTTTCCAGAGGGCTCTCGGCAGCTCGACACATCCCCCTTCCAGACAGCGCAGGGGGCGCCTGCCCCACCTGACCGCTGTGCTGGGGAGCGAGGGCTGCCCGAGCTCCGTGCCAGCTCCTGTCCTCTGGGAACTAAATAAAACGAAAACTTTTTTCTGCTCCTGAGCAAATTCAGACCACAACCCCTTTCGTCCAAATCACGGGCTCTGTGCTTGGCAGAGGCGCAGCTGGCTCAGCACGCCGACCCCCTCGCCGGCTGCTTGAGCTCTGAACCTCGGGCATTCCGAAACCTTCCTGAGAACGGCAGGGTCCAGCTGCGTGCGTTGAACCCGCTGCCCCTCCACTCTGGGCAAGTGGCTCATTCTCCGAGACGAACGCAAGGGCCCTGGACAGAGCGAGGGCATCGGGAAGCGCCCCCCGCTGCAGTACCTGTCCTGAGAAAACCGCCCGTTCGTGGCACATCCAACGCCGCAGCCTTGGGCTCGTCTCCTTGGGGGCTCTGTCCTGTTTCTGCCTTAGTGCAGCTTCCCACAGACTGACTTCCACCCAGCAAGAAACTGGACCATCTCCTGGGAAAGGGAAAAGAAACACTCCCACAGCAGCAGCTGCCCAGCCTGCCCAGCCTGCTGGGGGGTATGACGGTCACTAATCTGACTGGCACTTGTAACGTTCCTTTTATGCTCCCCCGGGGTTTGCTTTGAAAGACGATTTACGTGGGTGTCAAGCGAAGTGTATTGGGTCAGGCCCATCCACCTCCTTCCTCCTGGAGCAGTGCCCAAGAGCCAGCCCTGCCTGGCCCAGCAGCTCTTCCCTGTGTACCTCCACGATCAGCTGCATCTCTCCAGCCCTCGAGCGAGCAGCCAGCTCCCGCGGAGCTGATCCACCCTCTGCGCCTGAAGGCCTCCGCCCCCAGCAGCAGTCAGCAGCTCCGAGAGCCCCCCAACGCGGAGTCCGGGGCCACGGCAACTAGGACAGCTCGAAGCCGGTGTTCATGCTGATGGCGTAGCGCAGCTTCTCCCGCAGGATGCTCTTCTTGCTGTAGTTGGGAAGCTTGAGGAGGTTGAAACACGTCGAGGAGGTTGGGAGACGCCCGCCTGGCTCTTTCTTGCGGATGGTGAAGAAGCCCCGGAGCACGCTGCCCAGCGTGTCGCCCGTGTCCTGGAAGAGGGCAGAAACGCATCACCCTCGCGCTTCTCTGCTGTGCTCCTTCCACGCAGGGTGCCTGTACGCGGGGCAGAGGTGCTAACACAAAACCTGTCTGCTGGGAACAGGGAGTCAAACCTCAAAGCCCTGTCGTCCCGCCCCACCAGCACGGAGGGAGCTCCTCTTGTAACTGCAACTGCCGTTAGACACGCAGGGTCCCCTCGCAGGGTGCACAGGGGAGGTCCCGAGGAGAAAACACAACCCTGGGGACAGGCAGTAGGAGCCCAAGTGCCACTGTGGAGGGGAGGAGGCAGGTGTAGCCATCCATACGCATCCCCTCAGTGCAGGGGTGTTCTCACCTCGCCCTACAGAGCACTTCATGCCACAGTTCCCTGGGCAGAGAGAGAGGAGGAAGCTGGGCAGGGAAGGAGGCTGCCAGAAGCCTGGCTGGGAACACGAGACCCGAGCAAGTAGGGTGCCTACCTGATCGTCAGAGACTTCCACGCAGCGGATGGAAAAAGGAGGCTTGAGGTAGGCAAAGCCCAGAAGGGGAGGCCTGGAGCAGCTGGTGACAAACTGAAAAAAGTGACGGGACAGTGAAAGAGCAGCAGTGAGAGCAGCTCGGCTGCAACGCGTGCGGCACGGCAGGCACGGCAGGCAGCTGCTCGGACGGGCGTTTGAGCAGCTCCCGGGACAATACCGCTGAGCTTCGCTCCCCACACTGCCAGCTGCACAAGGCTACTCGTGGTGACACAAGAGCCTTTGTAAGAACTCTGCTTCCTGCCCCTCTGCTGGGGAGCAGGGTGAGGGTTTCAAGGTGTCAGGGTGACGATTTCAAGGCATCAAGCATTCCACTACTCCTCCTATTAGCACGCGGCCAACTGGAGGAGAACAGCACTGGCCCAACCACCCCAAATCGCCGGTTGGGCCGAAATGGCTTCATTTACCTTGAGAAACATGGCTCTCTCCTCAGGGCTGAAGTCATGGGCCAGGATGTCCCACAGCCAGATGATGACCCGGTGACTCCCGTGGAAGCCCCCGTAGTACACCGTGTGTTTTCTGGGGGGAGAAGGGTTGTGACAGGCTCGTGTCCCGCTGCAGCAGGAAGGTCACAGCTGCCAGATGATCAATACCTTCCACGAGCCAGGGTTCACTGCTACAGCAGACACTGCCAGTACTGAACCCCCCCCACGGGGCACTTGATCAGAGAAAAGGGAAGGGCAGAGAGAAATTCTGCTATCAGGAACCAGTGGAAGAAGGGTCCCTTCCCATTCATTAGTACTTTGTCCAAATTAGCATTAAGGAACATGTTCTTTGGCTCCACTCGTTTCTGTCTGCTCCTCAAATTTCAATTAGGAGGAACAGAAAGTTGTGACAGAGTCAAGTCTCCTGCCAACCTCCAAATAGCTCTGTAATAAAATGGCTCGGTTTGCTGAGCCAGACCACCAGCAGCCCGGCTGGCTCACTTACTTTAAGTCCTCGAGGTCAATCTCGGCGTTGTCCCCAGAGATCAGCCGCTGCAACTCCGGTGCAGAGAACATACGAATCCACTCAGGCTTGATGATCGACCGGAACCCACTGATGAGCGCTGCCGTCTGACTCTTGATCTGCGTGTGCATCCGGAAGTGAGCCATGAGATGGATGTAGCTGATCCTGCGTGTGACAGGGAAGGTGGCAGCGAGGGAGCCGGAGCCGCAAGGGATCCCCACCTCGCCGGGTCGCTGACCCGTCTCTCCAGCCCCGAAGGGACCAGCACTGCCTGGAGACGCATTGTGCTTTCCCCGCCAGGGCCCTGCACTTTACTTAAGCAGGACGAGCTGTTTTTCTGCCCAGACTTTGCTCCCCACCCCCTCTGGGACTGCTCATTTCTTAGAGCTCCTTCCCACCCCAGGGCCTGGCTGGTTCTAATAATCGCTTGATCGAGCTTGGCCGGACAGCAGCGCACAGAGGGGAGCACGTGTCCAGCTCCTCTGTAAAGGATCAGATCCCCAGCCACAGGCACTCCTCGAGGTTGGAAAAACGACTGTCTGGCCTTTGATGCCACCACAGCTGGAGCACCAACACACCAAAAAACACTTGGGATATTTCCACCTTCATCCCAGGAGTAGGGAGGAGGTGCCCTGTTCATTAGAGGGAAGCACCACCAGGCTTCCTCTTCTCACCAACAGCCAAAACAACCGAGCTTTGCCGATTCTTCTTCATCAGCTCCTAGGCAGACACCACCACAGCCAGACTGACTGGCTTTTCAGCCAGGTAACCTCACGTTGCCATTAGCAGAACTCTTTCTAGAGTGCTTCCACTTACAACGCTTCTCCTGCTCTCCCCCCCGCTACCAATTTGTGTGCCCATCTGCGCAAAAGCTTCAAAGTTTCTGCCGTAAGTGAGCAGAGCGACACACAGGACTTTCAACTTTCCCCCTGACGCTGACTTCTGACAAGCCAGAGAAAGATCCTTTCAAATGCAAACTCCCTGGTCAGAGCTCAAGGAGGCAAAAGACGGGGAACATCAAGATTGCAGAGCACGGCTAACAAAGACAAATCCTCAGGTAGGATCCAGCTTTCGCTTGCCGTTAAAGGGAACAACCCCCAGATTACCAGTTCAAACACACATCTGCTTAATAGACATTTTATCCTGCTTTTATGATCACTGAAGGGTACAGAGAAGGGAAAAAAAAAAAATGAAAGGAACAAAAACGTGGGTTTGGTTTTCAGGCTCCGGAGTTGACATTTACGATAACTATCTAAAAGCCGGTTATCTGTGAAAATAGCTACAGGGCTCGGTGTCTCCTCTGATTTCCTGTGTCTAAAGTACGACTGTCGACTACATTTGAATTCACCACTGTCTCTTCTGAAGAACAGTGCTTTATACAACTGCCACATGTTATCATTCCGAGAAGATCTGTCTGCTCCAAGGTGTCTTTGAGCATCTGTGCCCTCTATGTTCACAACTGTGTGCCTGAATTGCTTTGAATCCATCTGTCTGTATCTATCACCGTCATTAAATCCTGCAGAATCTCACAGGCTGTGTGCCTTTGACCTCCGAAGCGCTGTTTCAAGAAGTAAATTGTCAATTTTTATTTTGCAAATCGAATTTAATACAATTTCTGCCGATGAACTGTAACCAGCAAATTCTATTAAGATATTTATGTGCTCCTTCTACTCCAATCTATCTCAATTCATTCCAGATGCAAGCCCAAGGAACTAGAATAAAGTATTTTGCAGTGCTGACCTTAAAAATCTAATTGCTGTACTTACTTATTTTCATTGGTAACAGGAATGGTCTTCCCTCCAGGAACAAGTTCATGGCAAACAAGCTGAGGGAAGAAATGATTGTATTGCTAATTACTGCCTGGAACCACAATGGAAAGAAAAGCCATGCCAAGCTGTTACCTCCCCATAAAACATTTATTTTTACAGTAGAACAGTAGGATTTAAAATTTAAGTAATAATCCTGCTTCTGCCTTGAACCAGTTTCACTTAACTACTAACACAGTAATTGAGCAGTAGGGAACTCCGACTCTCCCACCAGTGGAGCCAGCCCTCCTTCGAGGAAGCCTCCTCCCAAGCCTGAT